TCCGTGGAGTGAAGAAATTTAAGACTCTTGCGCTCCACACCCCAGAACCAATACCTTCACAAGAACACCACGAGATACAAGTTCTCGGGCATAACCCCAGGAGAATCCCCCAAAAGAGGATAGAGACCCCCTCGGCTCTCGGGCGTATTCAGTCTAGTCGTGATGTCCTTTAAGAAGAACAGCGTTGTGGCACGAGAAGCCCCGCATCGAGCAGCCTCCATGTTGTCAACGAACAACTGTTCTTTCTGAACAAGGGGTCGTTCATAGATGCCCCTAGAAGTGTCGCCGCCCACAAGGCCACGAGGAGCGACGAGAAGCTCTCAGAAGAGGTCAGCCCCAGAGCTCTCCTCGGGAGGCCAATACCCTCTTGAGTTAATGGCAGCTCCCTGGCTGACGGGTGCCGCCTCCGAACCCCAACGCACACGCTGGGCAGCTTGGAACTCCTCCTGCTGCTGGTCGAGGTCATTCGAGACCTCGTGGGGCTCAACGATAGCACCCTCCTCTTCCTCTTCTTCTTCCTTCTCCTCCTCTTCATCCGAGGAGTCGAAGATACTCCGATAGGAGCGACGAGTCTCTTTCTCCTCGCGAAGTGGATACTTAGAGGCGGTACGCTTCTTTGAGGGCTTGGAGCCTTCGGCTTTAGAGGCGTTAGCACGCGCAAGACCCTCGGCAAGCGAGAGACGTTTGCGAGGATTATCTTCCTCATCGTCACCAGCTTTGGGAGCGCCCTTAGCCTTGACGGCGGGACTCTCAGAGCGCACAGACGTACTGGGGCTGTGATCACCTTGATCACTAGCGAGCGACTGCACGCTGTCATCCTTGTGCTCGCTCCGCACTGGTCTGTACCCTTCTACAGAGCCCGCAGGTGCATCGTGCGTGCTCTCGGACTCGGCTTCGTCCTCACTGCCAGAGTCGAGCTCACGTTCTACGAACCGAGGGTTCGGACGATTGTCTGGAGAGGCCGAGGACGACGGGCTGCGGCGCTTGCTTGCTCGCTTGCCCACAGCCGCGTCACCCGAGTAACAGATCGCCTCGGAGGCCACCTGAGTAGCCTCCTTAAGTGCCGAGCCTTTGCCGTGAGGCTTAGCGCTCTTGGCTTGCGCCTTCCCGGCAGCAGCCTTGGAGCGTGTCTTCGCACCGCTCTTTGCAGTGCCACGAGGCATGGTAAACGGTCGAAGTGGAGACCTAGAAGAAGAGCACACAGACTGCTGCTCGAGGATCTAACTGTGAAGTGAGCCTCTGCCGCGCTCGCGCGGCCAAGTCGATGGTTTTCGACTTTGAGAATGAAAGTTTGTGACGAACACCTCTTCATTCTGATTGGTCGGTAAACCGAACCTAAGTGGGGGGGGATGTAACGGGGTACGTAGCCCTAAGTGTACCCTGGTTACATGAAGTGTGACACGTCACACTTTAGAAGTATGACACGTCCTACTTCGGGATATTTGGTACTAGGTACCAAGGTCGTCCAAAGCCAACTATTGGTTGATGACATTGCATTTCTATAGGTGACTTATAGTTTGTATTAAACCCAGGCTTTATCTACCTATAAATATACTCAGTTTACATTCTACCTTAATTAGGTCACTTCGCTCTCTTTTGAATAAAGAGGGCACCTGTGAACTGCCGCTCACTGAGAGTTTGTATACTCTCGGAGGCTAACTTCCTCTAGCGCAAGGTGTGTCAGAACGATTTTTTATATGAATAAATTTTTAGCCAATTTTGCAAATGCCTGACGATTTGAACTATCACTTTACGGAGGGGTGGAGTTTTTTTACGCTTTGACGTCAAAAATAATCAGAATTAAAATTTAAAATATACTAGAAAAGTGCAAACTGAGCTTAATCTAGTGGTATATGAAACGTTTGGCGGGACTTCGGGGTCCCGCATAAAATATGCTCGGTATTGTGTTATTTTGGGCAGTCGCGACTTGTGACACAATCTTCAGTTTCGATCGGGTGTCGCTGCGGAAAATGTCGTCTCGGGCGTCTGGCGGCTCACGTTCAGCCGTCCCGCCTCGAAAGCGTGCAAAACGAGTCGACAGGAAAGAGACCGCGTATATACGTGTATGTGAAAAGCTAGGAGAAGATACCGTTAAGAAGATTCGTAACGACTGGGATCAAATGAATACAAGGCGAGATGGAAGCGAGTGGCAACAGTCAGAAGGAATAGTCATTCAGTTTCTTCAACAAGGATTATCGGAGCGAGAAATTCGAGCTGTTATACCTGTGGGTAGTAGCCGCATTGTAAGACTGCGGAAAGTACTGGAGGAGGGAGTTGAAACGCTACACACTCGTCGCGAGCCACAACGACCTTGGCATGCACTGAGTGACGATGATATTGCTGTACTGAAGAAACACTGTGAGACTTGGATACTTGAAGACGGGTTTCCGTGTGCTCATAGACGACCTCGGCAGTACTTCACCGAGCCTAATCTGAAATGGACAGTCGTTCACGGTAGGTATGAAGAAGAACTTACTCGTACAAACCCTACGGCGCGTGTCATGAGTTATTCCCGGTTCCTACAATACGTTCACTACTTCTACCCTGGTGTACGTCTTACTCGCACCGCTGAGGATGTTTGTGACTGCTGCGTACGCATCGATATTCAGCTGAAGCAACCTGATCTCAGTGATGATGAATAGGCAGTCTCTTCATCTAAAAAAACAGATGCATCTCGATAGTGCCATGGATCAACGCAAATTTGTGAAATCACAAAAAAAATGGGGAAGAACGGCCGGTGCGCAAAGACGCTGTCTGAACGTCATTATTTTTCATCATTGAAGTGTTAAAACGCAACGTTGAATCAAACAGCTCCAAAGCAGACAGGGCAAGCACGCACAGATGTTTATGATCCAACGGACGC